TATTTTATATTTTATTTCCCTTTATTAATAATATTACAATAGTAACATTTAAACATTAATTAATCCCAAGTTCAGTTTAAAGAATGTTGGATACTAATATCAAATAAAAACAACCATTAAAAACCCAACCAAATGTTTAACGCCTCTTTTGTTGTACAGGTTTGTAAGTGACTCGGTTGGATTAATTTTAGGCAGTAGCTTTCAAATCGTAGGTGTGAACGGAATCCCTCGTAAGGACAATTTTCCGTACAGACATGATTTTAACCTAACAATTCCTCCATAAAATATAAAACAAAAATTTTTTTTTTCACTTTTTTTAATCCTGGCTGCCTAACATGCGTTTGGACGCACCAAGTCTCTCTCATCAATTATTGATAATTAGTAATTAATCAGAAAATAAAAACACTAAATTAAGTATTAGGAGTAATCAATTAACCAATCTCTGCATATTTTCTTTTAACATTCTTGCATCAATATGTCTTCAGCATATACTATATTCTTCTCCTTCTTTTTGCTATAGACTTCCAAGCAATCTCTTCTCCAAACTATTGAAACAAAGATGGGTGACCTCATCGTTGGCCCCGTCGTAGAAGCCACTCTGTCCAAGGTGATTGCTGTTGCTTCCGATCAGCTCGATTTAGCACTGGGATGGAACGAAAACCTGCAAAAGTTTCGTAGTACGATGAGGTATCTCCGAGGTTTGTTGCAAGATGCTGATGAAAAGAATGTCGGTGGCAACCCTGCTCTGAAGTCTTGGCTCTGGGATCTTCGAGCTATTGCAGATGAGGCTAATGATATACTGGAGGAGGTCGCTTATAAAAATATGCAGCGTCAGATGGCAGTTCAGAAATCAAAGGTCAGGTACTTCTTTACTCAGTGTGACCCTCGGCCCTTGGTATTTCGCCAGAAAATGGCTAATAAAGTTAAGAATTTGAATAAAAACCTTGCTGGTATCAGTCGCTTGGCTAATGATTTGGGACTGCAACAAAAACTTGCAAACATGGTTCCTGAACCCGGAGGCGGAGCAGGCCGAGAGACCCACTCTTTTCTTTCATCTCAAGTTTATGGAAGAGAGGAAGATGTCTCTAAAATAGTTAGGTCGTTGGTTGGCTCAAGTAGTCAGCATGACCTCCCTGTCATGATTACAGTGGGTATGGCAGGTCTAGGCAAAACCACCATAGCAAAAGCAGTATTTAATAATGATAAAATACGAGAACATTTTGGTGATAATAAAATGTGGGTTTGTGTGTCTGAAAATTTTGATGTCAAAATGATTTTAATGGAGATGTTGAAGTCTTGTGGTGGAAGTAGTAGTGGTGATGGTGATTTTAGAAGCAAAGATATAGTGATGAAGAAAATACAAGAGAAGTTGGGGGGGAAAAATTATCTTCTCATACTAGATGATGTCTGGAATGAGGAGAGACCGAAGTGGGAGGATTTAAGGGATTGCTTGTTGGGAATAAGTGGAAGTAAGGGGAGTAGAGGGAAGGTGCTTGTGACAACCCGGCTTGAAGATGTTGCATCAGTAATGGCACTTACTGATGAACACATCCATCGTCCTCGGCAATTAAATGAAGATGAGTGCTGGAGTATAATCAAGCAGAGAGCATTTGGAGACAATTCAGTAACTGAGGGGTTAGAGGGAATTGGAAAACAGATTGCTAAAAGGTGTAAAGGCATTCCACTAGTTGCAAGTATTATAGGGGCTTTTTTGCAGAAAAAGAGGGACAAAAGGGAGTGGCAGGCAATTACAGAGAATTGTGTTTGGGATTCACTGGAAAAGCAGGGGGGGATCTTGGATATTGTAAGATTCAGCTATGATCGCTTGCCCACACTGGCTTTGAGGCAATGTTTTGCATTTTGTTCCATTTTTCCTAAGGATTTTGTCATGGAAAGGGAGATGCTAATTCAACTTTGGATGGCTCAAGGATTTCTTGAATCACCTGAAGAAATTAGTAATATGGTAGCGGAAGATATTGGTGACAAGTATTTCAGATATTTGTTATCATATTCCCTATTTCAAGAGGAATGGAGGGATGATGTAACTGGGAGTGTTGAAACTTGTAAGATGCATGATTTGATTCATGATTTTGCTCAGTCAATTTCAAAATCTGAGACGCTGATTGTTGAGGAGCGGCCTGGGAGCAATATTTCTCATGACGTTAGGCATTTGAATCTAATTGATGGGTGGGGAATGGAGCCATCTATTTTACGAGATGTTGCTAAAAAGTTGCAGACATTGTTTTCCAAGCATAGTTTTTCTAATGGTGTGCAAGTGGATCTTGTGAGGTTACGAGTTCTCAGCCTTGAAGATGCTTGTGATGCAAAACAATTGCCGACGTGCTTTGGCAACTTGAAGAGGTTGAGGTACTTGGACATTTCAGGAACTCAAATAGAAGAACTGCCCGAATTCATCTCCGAGTTGTACAATCTACAAACATTTAGATTCGCGGAATGCAGATCTCTTAAAATGCCCCCAAGAGGAATAGGAGATTTAATCAACTTGAAGCATATTTATTTCAGTGATGAAGAGCGTATGCCTGCAAACCTTGGGAGACTAGCCAACCTACAAACATTGCCATTGTTTTTTGTAGGTGCAACAGAAGGACGTAAAATTGAAGAATTGGGAAGCTTAAGCGAACTCAAAGGAGGACTAGAGATCCTTAAGCTTGAGCTTGTTACTGGCAAATCGGAAGCGGAGGCAGCAAAGTTAAAAGAGAAGGCAATCAAGGATTTGGAATTTCATTGGTCGGGAGGTGAAGGCAATCAAGATAAAGATGAAGATGTCTTAGAAGGCCTCCAACCCCACTCAAATATAAGAAGATTACAGATTGCTGGCTATGGAGGTAGAAAGTTGGCATCATGGATGTTGTCACTCAACAATTTGGTGGTTCTGACAATTGACAATTGCAAGATGCTTCACAGAATTCCAGATATTAGTGGGCTTTTATCTCTTCAGCGGCTCCATGTTCACGGTTGTGATGAAGTAACTAGTTTGGGTGATGGTGATGGAGCATTTACGTCTCTCAAACAATTATCCATATACAGTTGTGGTAAGTTAGAGAGAGTTTTGGTTAGTGGATTATCATCTCTGAAGAAACTCAGCATTGTAGATTGTAGTGTGATAAATAGCATAGGAGATTGCCTATCAAGCTCCACGTGTCTCAAAAAATTATGTCTGCTAAGTGTTCCTAAATTGAAGTTTATTCCAAGTCTAGAAGGACTTGTCTCTCTCAAAACAATAGATATTAGAGATTGTAATGAATTAGGGCATCTGAATCTAGAAGGACTTGTCTCTCTCAAAACAATAGATATTAGAGATTGTAATGAATTAGGGCATCTGAATCTAGAAGGACTTGTCTCTCTCAAAACAATAGATATTATAGATTGTAATGAATTAGAGCGTCTATCGGGTGGGCTCTCATCTTGCACTGCTCTGGAGAAATTGAAGATAAGGAAATGCTCTAATTTGGTTTCTATTCCTATAGAATTGAAACAGTTGCAGTCTCTTGTTGAGTTGGAATTTTGGGTTTGTCCCAAATTGGAGTTTATTCCAAGTCTAGAAGGACTTGTCTCTCTCAAAACACTAAATATTTCCTATTGTGAAGAATTAGAGCGTCTACCGAGTGGGCTCTCATCTTGCACTGCTCTGGAGAAATTGCAGATACATGGATGCTCTAATTTGGTTTCTATTCCTGAAGAATTGAAACAGTTGCAGTCTCTTGTTGAGTTGGATATTGAGGGATGTCAAAAATTGAGGAGGTTCCCAGAAGAGATCTTGGGCTCTCTTACCAGCCTGAAGAAATTAAAGCTTGGCCCTTTCTCAGAAGAGCTGGAGGAATTCCCAGATTTGGGTCCCACTTCCTCCCTTGAAGTCTTGTATTTGGAAGGATCGGGGGAATCGCTAACTCTGCCACATCAAATTGATCGCCTCACTAGTCCTAGGAACTTATTTATCAAAAGCTTCAACGGAGTGGAAAAAGCTTTATTGGGAAACCTTTCTTGTCTTAAAAAACTTTCAATTTGGGATTGCACTCGGTTAACGTCTCTATCAGGTGGGCTATCATCTGTTGAGGAGCTGTGGATAGTAAATTGCCCTAATCTGGTCTCTTTCCAAGAAGAGTTGAAGGAATTGGCTACTCTAACCATTGAAGGATGTCCGAAATTTATGGGCTTCCTAGAGGAGAGTCTCGGCTGCTTTACTAGGTTGAAGAAATTAGAGATCGGCCGTTTCTCAAAAGAGCTAGAAGAATTCCCAAGTCTGAGTTCCATCCACGCCTCCCTTGAAGATTTGACCCTGACGGGATGGGAAAAACTAACTCACCTCCCACAAATTCAACACTTGACTGCTCTAAAGAAGTTGAGTATAGAGCACTTCAGTGGAATGGAATCTTTGCCAGACTGGTTTAACAACTTGTCCTCCCTTCAACAACTTCGTATTTGGTTCTGCCCAAACAAGTTAAAGGAAAGATGCACCAAGGGAAGCGGTCTTGACTGGGACAAGATTTCTCACATTCCACACATCACAATAGCTGGGGAGACCATCCAATTCCAATCCGAAGACTGAGGCAAAGAGGTTTGTGTTTCTTTTTTCTCACAACTGCACTTGTACAAATTCCCGACACCAAAAAGTAAAATCTCTCTCCTCATCCTCTATCAATTAATTGGATTGATGCTGCTCCCTCCATCGTTGTTGGGTGCCGCCAATTAGTGTTATCTCGTCAAAATTATTTGTTCTTTCTCTCAAACCATATATAAATTCATGTTTTCTTTTTTCTCACTTTTGATTCATATTCTTATACTGCATGTAGATGTGATTAATTATGAGTGAATAATCAATGAGT